AAAGCAGATTTTGCCCATGTAAGACCAGGAGAGAAATATTGTATTTCAGGGTAGCAGGGAGTGCAATGGGAGACAAGCGTGAGCAGGACCGGGCCTTGCAGACGGGCCTGGAAGGAGCCAGTCCTGCGGCGAGACCGGGCTGCTGCAGCGAGGCAACGTCCAGCATCGCAAGGAGTAGAGCTCCCTCCATGAAACTCACTTAACTTTGTTACTAGGTGATGAACTAAAGAGCAGTTAATGAGTGTGATTATTCTGGGCACTGGGATTCAGCCATGACAGAGTTTAGTGACCTTGAGGCTGGGGCTCGGGCCCGTACCTCCTCCGGTATGGTGTCAGCGCCCCCACCGTTCCTCCTAGATGTTACAGAAGCCATACAGAGCCTCCAGCAAGCGGGGCAGCTGGGGCGAGGTAGAGCAGAGCTTTGCAAGGCAGGACAGAGTAAGCGAATATCACGGCACATGTGTACAGCAGAAGATAAAAAGAAGGAGGTCTGTTGTTAGGGACTGAATGTGTCTTCCCCCAGATCCATAGGTTGAAACCCCAAACCCCACTATGATAATACTGAGAGATGCGGCTTTGGGGGGTAATTAGTTTTGTATGACGTCATGAGGGTGGGGCCCTCACGATGAGATCGGCGCCCTGATAAGAAGAACCGGAGAGCCCGCCAGCTCTCTCTCTGCCGTGTGAGAACATAGCAAGAAGGCGGCTGTCTGCACAGCAGGAAGAGAGCCCTCGCCAGGAACAGATCAGCTGCCACGCTGACCTTGGGCTTACAGCAATAGAACTGTGAGAACACATTTCTGTTGGGTAAGCCACACAGTTACCGTACTTTGTTATAGCAGCCCAAGCAGACTAAGCCAGCCTCCACGAGGCAGGGCTCAGTCAATACGGTTTGTGTGAATGACTGGGTCAAAGGTGGGTGGGTAGAAGAGGAGCGTATGCTGGGCACCGTTCACGGGCTGGGAGACCAGCTGTGAACATCTCTTCTCCACTCCGTATTTATGGATGTCATCTCAGCAGTTTGAAATAAGCCATGGTGTGACTGTTTACACCATGGAAATAGGCAACCACTATACATCAGGGATTTTCCCACGGGAGAGGCAGCTGTGTAACATTGACCAGCATACCACTGCACACGTGAGGTGCACACTTGTGGGACTAGAGGCCCCGGGAGTTCTCATGTTCAAAATAAACCCTAACCTTTTTGCTGTGGTTGCTGTCGCTGATTTAATTACTAATACACAATGGCGCTCTTCAATTATCTTTTATTACCCATCCAGAGTTGTTCAGCATTTGCAGGCCCTCCTGGCAAACTAACCAGCATTTAAAGTGTTGTTTCCATGGGGAACTATTTCTAAATTGCAAGTTACTGACTTTAAAATAAACTTTTGGAAAACAGCCCATTTGTGAGTTGGGGACTTTTAGTTCTTGGTCCTCATGGGGACATGGGAGAACAAAAAGAATCACGTCAGATTTTTAAAAATATAGGTTACAAAAGAAATCCTAGGTGAAAAGGAAAGGAATAGAATTACTGAACTTGGAGGAGAAAGAGATGAAGAGCAATTGAATCACAGGGTGAGTGCCTGCTGTGTGCTTGTTCTTCCTCCGTAAACATCAGGGACTTGGGTAGACAAGAGGGAAATGTCTTCATGGTCTTACTCTATGATGTATGGTTTGTGTATTTCATCTTGAACATTTCCAAACTTATTTTCCCAGTCGAGGTAGTTTATATAGGATCCATTGGAGGACCAAGAAATTTTAAAAGATTACTTGCTGGCTTCAGGGTTCCCGAGAATCTCATGAGCCCAAGTCGACAGATGGTATATAATGTATTTCAAAATTTTGAGAAACATGATATAATTCAACAAATCCCTTCCATAACACATCTTGGAATGTAATCATAATTCATCTTAGAATAACTAAACCCAAAATGTATCCTTTGCTACCCAGAAATGAATATCATAAAACTTAAGCTATCCTAATTCTAATATAAAAACCTTAAAACAACTGTTCTAAACCAGTGCTTTCTGACCATTTAATGAGGGAAAAGATGTTATTTGGGGCTTGTTAAATTAGTGTTATTTGAGTTACTCACTCAGAAGGGTTGGGGATATCACTTCCTAAGTGATATTACAGTGCCCTGATTTAGCTTTTCCTGAAAACAGTCTGAAACAAAGAAATGACAACTGTAAATCTGCCACTTGGAACCTTAAATGGTACACAGCCCTCCCAGACCCTGGTTTAACAGTTGGTTTATGATGTGGTTTCAAAATAACACTCTTATGCATAATACAAGCCTTCCTCCAAAACAGACATGAACCCATAAAGCTTGTTAACAGTGACTCCAAAACCTCCCTAAAGTATTCCCTGTGGCACAGTTTTGGTTTGTTGATCTAAAATCCTTAGCTTCCTGAATGTCCCTTCATGACCTGCACGGGTGACCACCAGCTTATCTGGGAAACGGGTGCTCTTCCTGCTGGCCCGACGGCCCGACAGCCCAGCCCCGGCCGCCCCGTGCCCGGCCCTGCCCCGCAGGGCCTCAGGCGTCTCCCACCCCCGTGCATCAGCGTCGCCAGCGGAGCCGTTTAGCCCTGCTGAAGTGCGTCTGACGAGTGAGCCAGCTGCTGCTCCCCTCCCGCTGCATACTGCGGCCTGCCCCTGGCTCTTTGGGGCCTGGCTCCAACGTCTTTTCTCCCAGGGAGCCTCCCTAGGGCCCCGGGAGAGCAGCCTGGAGCCCCTGGTGTCGCAGGTTCCTCGCTGCATACGCTGACCCTGCGCTCACCGTGACGTCGGTGAATCTGCAGCACCCTCTCCATCGCGTGCTCTTCGGGAGCCGAGGCCTCCGCGCCCAGCAGCGAGTCCTGCCCACAGCGGCACTCGGCAGAGGCTCGCTGCTGGAGGGCAAGCCGGCCCAGGCTCTCCCAGGCGGTGAGACGGAGACGTATCTCACAGGCTGCCGGGGAAGGCAGGCACGTGCCACACACTCGTAACACACTCGCCGCGTGGTCAGATTTTTGACACATCTCCTCCCACACCCGCCACTGGACAGAAAGCTCCTCAAGGGCGGTGGCGCATTTCGTGCACCTTCACATTCCAGGAAGTCATGCAGTGACCGGCGTGGATCAAGTGTATGTTTAACGTGTGTTTGCCAGCAGGACACTGGCATTTTTGAGCAGGACAGTTCTTTGCCATACAAAACAGACCCACACATTGGAGGACATTAGCAGCCCTGCCCCTGCTCCCTGAACGCCAGCGGCACCCCTGTCCTTTGGACACACCCTCCCGTGGTCACACACACACACACGTGTGCGTGCCACTACACAAATGCACACATGTATGCATGCATGCATAAACCCCACATACATGTGCATGCCTACAAACACACTGCACATGTGTGCTCATGCATGCACACGAGCAAGCACATGTGTACACATGTGAGGCCACGCCCACATGTGCATATGCGAGCACGTGTGTGCGCACACGTGCATGCCCACGTGTATAAAAGTTCGTGGGGGGGGTCAGGAGGAAGTAGTACCGCCTGTAGTTGAGAGTCTCCAGGCTCTTTTCACCACGACTCAGTGAGACGGGAGACACGGCAGGCTCTGTAACAGCACCAGGGCGACTCGCTGGGGGGTTGCACATGTGCGGTGGCATCAGGTGGGGGACAGGGTGGCATCTGTGGCCCTCAACAGAACACGGTAACTTTACTTTGTAACTAACATCTTTACTGAATGTTTAGTATATACCCTAGGCACTAAGCTAAGTTATACATCCATAATTTAATCCTCACAACAGCCTGGGGGGCCCCATGTCTCAGAGGAGGAAACTGGGTCTCAGGGAACTTGAAGCCGTGGACCAGGTTCACACACTGGGTTCATGTCAAGGCCAAGAGCCACCCTGAATCACTCCATTCAGCTGACTCTGATAGGCTTCTTTAACAAGAGCAGGCTTCAGAATTCCCAGATGCAAGAATCCTTTTTAAGTTTGTTCCTCCCATTAATTCTAACCTGGAGCAGTGTGTCACGAAATCTGTCTGCGCAGTGTCAAGTTAGCAGGATGAGAATAATGGGTTCCGTGGGCAAAGAAGGTGGAGAAATGACTTCTGAAGGGCGCACGGAGAGGCGAGGGAGCAGAAACGCTGGAAACCAAAGCGGTCTTGCAGGGGCGCCGCAGTGCTTCCTAGTGAGTCGGGAGGTGATTTCAGAACATTCCCGAGCAAGAGGCAGGAAAAACCACAGCAGGAGCTGGTCTGCCAGGAAATGCTTAAAAAACACTTGGTACCCACCGATTAAGCTACAAGAAATGACTGATGAAGGGTTAGTGATTTTTCTTCTAATTTCATAATAAAAAAAAGGGTGCTATTTATTAGGCACTAATTACTTTAAATTATCTTTTATAATTTTCACTTGTTATCTCCCTTTCACAGATAACATGCTGACGCCTACAGAGGCTGGTCAAGTCCCTTCCCCTAAGGCCAGTAACTGTTTGATGGCAGCGCCAAACTTGAGCCCAGTTCTCTCTCGCTTCATGTCTCATGATTCAAAACACTACATGCCAAACGCCCAGGACTGAGGGTGTGGTCAGGGGCTTTCCCGTGTGCGTGAATGTCCAAAGCAAAACCAGCTCAAACACGGTGCCCAGAAGGCCCCCGAACTGGTGGTTTATATCGTAACACCGCCTTCATTTCACTGTGTCTCTTCAGCCTCAAGTAGTCACTTGGTCTGCGGTCTAAACATGACGTTTTTCTCTGGCATGACTTACATTTCTTAATTTTACTATTACATTTGAAACTCACAGATCACCAGGTTGTCGCATGGTTTTTTTGATGGTGTACTTGTGCTCATGAAGTAGCGTCCATCTGCCTAGGACTTCACCCAGTCTGACCCACATCCTGGAGCCTGTCCTCGGTGAACTGCCTTAGTTGCTGACCCAGAGTTTAAGTTGTTGGTCCCAGGATCTGACTTCTCCTCATCTGTCAATTTCCCTTTCCTTTTCCACAGATGTCGGTGCATTTTTTGAAGAGGGAATGTGGCTGCGGTATAACTTCCAGGCACCCGGGGTCAGCGGCAAAGAACCCGGCAGCAGAGCGGAGAGCTCACCGGAGCAGCAGAGCCCACCACTGGACCTGGCCTACGAGGAGATTCGGTTCAGCTTCAGCACCTCCAAGGCGCCCTGCATTCTCCTCTACGTCAGTTCTCTCACCACGGACTTCTTGGCGGTCCTCGTCAAACCCACCGGTAAGGACAGTGACATCCAGCTGTTAGATGTTGGATGGGCAAAATGTCTAGTAAAAGTCTAGATTATTCTTGGCTTGTCCTTTATTCCTTACAGGAAGTTGAGCAAGTCACCTAATGTCTTTGAACCCCATTTCCCTATTTGAGAGCCAACAAAGCAACTGGCCTGTTGCATGCTTCATAGCTATGTGTTATAGCGGTAATGTTGCTAAGGCATGTTGAGGTCTTTACAAGAACCATATTACATGATAAGAGGTGGCTTCATAGGTACAATGATGATTTTTTGTTCCTAATGAATAAATACATTCACTACTGTACCAACAAGAGCTTTGAAGTGATGAAGTTAACTTTACATAAATAAATGAGTTATTATCCTGATTTATGATAATGATCAAGTAGGTTCTGAACCTACTTGAATGTACAGAGCATCTGAACATTCAGTAGAAGTAGAAAATCAGAGACATTTGCATTCCTAAGCCCCTTCAGAAATTTACATTCATAAACTACATCCTAGACATAAAGGTTGCTTAAAGCAGGGGTATATTTACACTTATAACCCATCTTGACCCTCTTGATCTCTAAATATGCATTGAGCCAGAGCAGGTCAGACAGGGAGACTTAAATAGGCGCTCTGGTGGCAAAGTGGCAATGGCCTTATGACCTTAGAGAGAAGCATAAACATCCCTAATGCACGTGAACGAGTTCCGAGCCTCTTAACACTTTAAGATCACTTTTTTTTTAACCAGTGAAAATATTTCAGGTGTTTCAAGGAGCAAATGTCTCTAACTCATTCCCAGGGAGCTTGTGTAGCTGGCAGCATAGGGGACCCCTCTCTCCCCATCTCGCTCTGCAGTGACGAGGCCCAGCAGCCTCCTGTGACAGCTATTACAGGGTGTCACATCAAAAAGGTCAAGGCTTTCTTCCCTGAGAACCAAAGATCATCACTATTTTTAACCCAAGTTAGCTTAAGTTTTGAAAAATAGTAAAGTCTTAAACTTCTTCTTTTGGGCAATGCACTGTAGGCTAAAAAGATGGGGGAATCAATGTTTCCTAGCATTTTCCCTTCTAGAAATTATTCCGAAAGTAATTAGCCAAAAATTAGACAAAGACTCAGCATGCCGGTGTTATTTATAAGAATTGGAAAGAACTGAGAAGCTCAACTTTAGTAAAACAGTGAGTGAAAGAGAGGAAGTCACCATTTTATGCAAAATTATGTATCCATTAAGAATAATATTCATGAAGAATAATTAATGACATGGAGAAAAATTCTTAGTACTGTCACATTAAACTACAAAAAGGGCAAGATAGTTTTGACTATCCAAAATCAGCTTAACTTTGTAAAAAAAAATGTGCATATATAGATAGATAGATAGATAGATAGATATCAGGAAGCGCAACAACATGAGCACGAAGTGTCTGTCTGGGTTGTTGGTTTGCTGCTCATGAGCAATAACACCCATCTCTACACATCAGGAGCCCACACCAAGCAAGGGTCGCTATTCTAATTAGAAAAAAATAACACATACAACCAGTAAGTGAGGAAGCAGAAGGAAAACGTGTGTAACCCTGCTTTGCATGAGCTCTCAACTTAAGTTGACTTCCCTTGGATCCAAATAAATAGATTTTTCACCCGCAGATGTTCTGCACCCACATGTTCCAGCCTCTCAGTAGGCAGGGAGGGTGGTTCTCACATTAGCTCGTCCAGAGTCTAATGAACACAACCTAGTTAATGCTGTACTGTGTGCTCCTGAAGGCACAGCCATGCAAAAAATGTTCACATCAGCACCCAGCCCTGGGAGCATGTGCACTCATGTTTGTGGACGTTCGTCGTAGGTAAGGGTTTCCATTCACCGGTTTGGTATCCATGGCTACCGTTGAGTGATGCCCAAAAAGCATACTGAGTGTTTCACATGCTTTCATCACTATGAACGCACAACTCTGGGATGTAGGCACCATCCTTACCCCCTTCCTTCTGGTGGCCTGGGGTGCAGATAGGTAGTGGCAAACCCGGGTTTCCATCCCCAGGTGCCTGACCCCGGCCCAGAGTGCTGGGCGCTCTCTCCGCGCTGCGCGGGCCCCAGGACCCCCTTGGCGCACTTGCAGAGCATAGCCCGTCGGCTTCTGTCGAATGACCACAAGGCTGTCCGTAGACTGCTGAAGAAAACGTGGCCTTTTTGTATTTCAAATGCTGAATTTTTTATTGAGATTTAAACCTAAAAATTTTGGCAAAGTCCTCAGGAAAAAAAAGCAGTAAGGGCTGTGCCAAAATTTAAATAAAGACTAGAAAGCCTTAACTAAATGCCCTGATGCCCCTTACACTTAACACGTTCAAGCCAGGCTGTCTGCAGGGTCCCCAGCAGCAGCCCCGCCCCCGGCTCTGCCGGCGCTCCGGCCTGGCACACTGGGACCCCCAGGCCCGGTGTCACCGTGAACGCTCCACCCTCCCCGTCCTGTGGATTCTGTCCTCACGTCCTTGTGTCCTTCCAGGGTAACTCTTCCCTCTCCCTCCATGGCGGCTCCCCGGAAAGATGTCCTCTAGGTCAGGGCTTCTCGACCTTGGTCATGCCAAGCACACACAGAAAGTATTTTAATGGCACTTTGTAAGTGGACGAGTTTGTGTTTGGAAGGCCACACTTGGTGTCTTTAGCAGCCCTCGCCTCCCGTAGGGCTCCTGGGACCCCATTACCCCTTCATGGGACAGCAGCGCTCCTCCCTGTGTCCACCGGGGACTCTGTCCCGATCCAGGTCTCTGCCTCCAGTCACTTACACCTTCACCCCACACCATGGCCAGAGCAGGTCATCATTATACACGGCATCCCTATCACAGGATGAGGAGGGCGTGCCTCCACCTGCCCCCCACCCTGCCCTGCCCCGTGCCACAGGGGACATCCCAGATCCTGCAGCCTTCCCCCCGAGCTCCACTCCAGCCTCACGGGACAGAGCGCAGAGCGTGGAACCGGAATGTCAGGGTCTAAATTCCGCATCAGCAGCTGTGGGTTATGTCATCTGTGAAATGCTGTCTCCCTCGCAGGGTACTGTGAAAGTCAAGCAAGCTAGTAAGTATAAAGCACCGCACCACGTATATGTGTTAGGGGGGATCAGTAAGCCTCATCCACTGGTTTACCCTGCCTTGTCCCACAGTCAGTGACAGATGTCTCTACTTGTCCTAGTCAGGGAAGGAACCTGTTCTTCCCAGCTGGCCCTGTGGGCATCTGTGTTCCTCCCTTATCTGAAACTGCTCCGTCTTCCTCTCTCGTCTAAAACCTGTATTACCTTATTTTTTTAATTTTATTTTTCAATGACAGTTGATGTTCAGTGTCATTTTGCATCAGTTCCAGGTGTGCAACATAGCAGTTAGACAATCTCACGCTTTGCGAAGTGGTCCCCAGCTGCTTTCTAGTCCCAGATCGAGCCTCGCCTCCCCTCTGGGACGTCTCCTCACCCCATACTCCTGTCACTCTTATTTCCTGTGTCCCCTGTTTAGCACTTAGTGCCCTGTGTTGTCCTCTGTCTTTGTGATGAATGCGCCCTGTGCTCCCAGCGCAGCTCAGCCCACAGTAGGCGTCGTGTGAGTGTGCGTGATGGAGGCCAGGAGAGAGGAAGTCTGGAAGCACATGAGTGGCTGCTGCCAGCGCAAGAGCACCCCTTTCCCCTTGCTGTCGTACCCTTGCGGGGCGAACACGAGATGCAAGGAGTGAGCTATCTTTCCACTTAATACTGTTTTATTTTAATGAGCAAATATTAGTATTCTCCTAGTCATCATTTCATTGTTCTCTTGTACTGCTGTTTGAAAGGAATCGATATAGCGTTTGAATGTTATTATTCAAGAATATTGCCATTACTGTTCATAGATGTTCACTATATATGCATTTAAAGTTCCAACTCATCTTTTTTTCTCAAAGCACATAATTCCTGTTGCCATTAAGTGAAGTGGTTATAAACATTTTAAATCATATTTACAAAGTTCAAGAAAGCCAGAAAAGAGAAACATAACTTTAAAAAAAGAAAAGAAAAAACAACTGACTACTGAATTAAATGACCTGGGGAATATAAAGGGACCAATGACAGAGACAGTCCAGAGGAAAACGTCCTTTTCTTTTGCATAATTACCCTGGCCTCCAGCCTTCCAAGGCAGAGCCCTTTAACCCCCCTGCGCCCCTGGGTCCAGGGCCGGCGGAGCCCCCCCAGGGGCGGGGGCTGGGCACGTCTGAGGCGGCTGTGCTCTTCGAGCCCAACACACCGCCCACTCGCAGGCCTGGAAAAATGGGGTTTATTTGTGCAATCACTGAATAAATGTGTTCTGAAGAAATGCACAAACAAATGATGAATAGACACACAGCTAAATATTTTTTTTAAATTGGCTGCGGTTATACAAGCACACCAGAAGTAGAGTAATTACTCAGCACAATCGACTTCCTGCATGTTGTTCACATAGCTGCCTGCTCATCCCCTTCACTCCCAAACAATAAATTGTTTTTAATGCTATTGGGATAAAGGAAAAAACAGGGTAAAACCCTGAAGAATGGGGAGAGAAGCCGCGCAGGAAACAGGCGCAGCATATTCAAAGGTCCTGAGGTAGGGAGGAGAATTTTACAATCTGAGAATAAGAAACTGAAGGTAACTTAAACGTAAAAAGTGAGAGAGTAAATGGTATGATTTGAAAGTAAGGTAACAGGCAGCACTCAGACGAGACCGAGCGTCATACGCTGCATTAAGAATGTAGGTCTTCATCTTATGAGCAACTGGAAGGTTTTGAAGCATTTTAAGTGAACCAATGAACTAATCAGTTATGCATTTTGAAAAGACCTCTCTGCAAAGAGAACATGGGAAAGAAAAAATCACAAAAGCAGGGAGACCATCATTCATTCATTCTACAAATACTCGTACCTACTAAGGATTGAGCATTATTCCATACATTGGAATAATGTGTCATAAAGAATATAACCAAAAATCCGTTCTCTCATGGAGCTTACATTTGAGCAGGAAAACACAGACAATAAACATTAAGGACGGCATGTAGTATGTTGCATGGTAAGAGCTCTAATAGGAAAAAATAAGGCAAAAAACGGAGGGCCTGGCCAAGGGAAAGGAGTCAGTAAGTTCTGCTTTGATGAGGAAGTTCCAGAAACAACCACTGAGAAATGGTATTTGAGCAAAGACCTAAAGGGGGTGAGGGGCCAGCCAGCCAGATAACTGGGGAGTGAGAGTTCCCAGACGGAAGAACCAGCAAGGGCACAGGCTCTGGGGCATGAGGCTGGCTTCTGGACACGCAGCAGGGAGGCCACCGGAGCAAGGGGGAGAATAATAAGAGATTAGGTCAGAGGTGATGGAGGAAGGTCATGTGGGGCCTGGTGAGCCATTGTGAAGAGTTAGATTTTTACTCTGGGTGAGATAGGAGGAAGCCATTGGAAGGTTCTGAGCAGGGGATCGTCCTGCCCGCGAGGTAGAGAGGAGACTGGGCCTGCAGGGGAGAGAGACTGGGGCAGACATGAGGAGGGGCAGAAGCAAAGGGTCAGTGTGGAGGCCAGTACAGGAATCCGACCAAGCGCGCTGGTGGCTTGGTCTGGGGGCAGTAACGGAGATGATGAAAAGCAGAAAGACTCGAGGTGTCTGTTGGAGGGTCAAGACGATTTGCTGAGGGGTACGTGGGATCTGGAGGAGGGAGGGGGAGTTGTGGCCTTTGGCAGGAAAAGCCGGAGGGAGGAAGGGAAGTGTGGACATGTGGAAACTGTGATGGAGCCGTCGGGGGGGAAAGTCAAGAGTTTGGTTTTGCAGGTGGTGTGTTTGAGGCGCCAGTGCGACACCTCCTGTGATGGGCTTAGTAGTGAGGAAGAGCAGAGAAACAGGGGACTCACCCGCCAGTGACGTGAGGTCAAGAGGGTCGCTTTTAAAGGACAGACTGGTCAGGATCAGGTGAACCTCAGGTGGTGGCCAGCAGCTCAGGGATACGGAGTGGACAACCCAAGGGCCCAGGGGCCGGAGCTCCAGTGGAGCTGCGCCTGCCAGGTGAGGGGACCTCATGGGGTCCCCGCCAGGGCCGGGGGCCCTGGGGACACAGAGACAGAGAAGGGCGGGGAAGTGAGGAGCACTTCAGAGACGGAGCACTTGGTTGAAATGCTGCAAGCGAAGGGATCCGGGATAAAATGCTAAAGTAAACCTCAGGACTAGTGACGGGTGTGGAACTCGCTTAACAAGCAAAAATAGAAAATACAGTTCATTCTTTATTGTCCTGATGAACATTTCTTTCAACCCTGGGAACATGGTGGAGTATTTTAAATGGCACGTGTAGCGCTAGAACACCTACGGAAGGGAAGGTGGCCTTTACGAACTCTTGCGTTTACTTATGTATTTATAAAGGCATGAGAACTATGCAGAAGGAAACACTGCCAGATGTTCAGAGTGGTTAGCTTAGGGCGGTGGGGCTTCCAGCAACTCTTTTATTTTTTTCCTTCTGTGTAGTAAGTTTTAGTTACCATATTTTATTTCACAACTTAAAACTCTGAACATCGGCTTTGTTCCTCCAGAAGGAAAATGAATCCATGAGATTATCTACAATTGGTCGAACTCCATTTTTAAGCTTGGCAATGTTAAGTATTAAAACGAAGACTCCAATTTGAGTGAAAAATGAGATTTAAAAATTTGATGTCCTTAAAAATCATAACTAGGAAATTAAAGTTCTATTTGCTGTGCATATTAGTTAAAAGCAGGATCACCTGAGCCTTCTTGCATATGGCCTGTCATTCCTGGGAAGAACGAAGAAGGAGGGAAAGAGGAACAGTCTGTCGAGGCGAAGTGAACTCTAACGGAGGCGACGCGGCCCTGGCCGGAGAGCCTGGCTGCTCCCTTGTTTTGCGTTGGTCTGAAGCAATCTCTAACCTCAAATAAAAGGAATTGTTCTGCTTCCGAGGTCTCCGTGAAGCCACTCAAAGTCCCGAGTGTTTATCTTTTATAAATTATGTTTATTTTTAATATTGTACGCTCGTGATTCTTTCATGCACTGAACGGCACACTTTGCTGCCGCCATGGGACCGTCCCTGTAGCCTGCATTTGTTTTTTATTCCACCGAGAACTTTGTGGGGCCTGCGGGGTCTCTCCAGCATCCTGTGCTGTGCGTGTTCTCACTCTGCCTTCCCAGGCACACTCCCCGCGTGGATTTCTTCCACCATCCGCTGCTCCCGCTTTGAGAGAACGGTCACTGATGGCTCACTGTTGGGAGGTTGTAACCAGGTGGTACCCAGCGCTGTTAACTTCTACGGGTCGCTGTGCCTTGGAGCTAGTGAATCAGAACGCAGGGCAGCACTGGCACTGGTGGGCACCGAAGGAGGGGGCAGGGTTTTGTGGAACCCTGAGTGTCAAAGGGTGGGAGAAGTTTTGCTAAAATGAAACAAGGACAAAGAAGTTGCTGAGCCTCTTTCCTCTTCCTTATATAGGAAGCTTACAGATTCGGTACAACCTGGGCGGCACCAGAGAGCCATACAACATTGACGTGGACCACAGGAACATGGCCAACGGACAGCCCCACAGCGTTAACATCACCCGTCGCGAGAAGACCGTCACGCTCAAGGTACGCCTGTGTGTGCATGTCCGCTGTGTATGACATCGTATGATGACCCCTGTCCTCTCTACTACTTGCACGTTGGTTTGATTTGGTTTTGCTTTTGAGCTGGGGCAGATGCAAGAAGTGCTTGCTTACACTTCCACCTGCACATTCCTAACTAGTCCGGCAGAAGTTAGGTCTTCTAGCAAAGACAGTGATGAAGCTGATGGGGACGAACTGTCCCAGGGAGGAGCTCGAGTAGGCGTTGACTCTGTGCATTCTTTGCAGCTCTGCGGCAGCGGCCCACACAGCCGTCAGCCTGCTGCTTCCCTCCGCCACGCCGTCTGTTTTCTCCGCGCACTCAGCTGTCTGACACGCACTGCGTTTCCCAGCAAGGCGGTTCTGCTTTCTCTGACCTCTTTCTTACACTATTCCACCGCGATATGAATAACTCTATTTTTTGTCTCTGTGGACGCCTTGCATTAAAAATCCTCAAGACACAGACCTTCCCCAGAATCTCAGACTCTGGCTGTATGCAGGCTCGCAGCACACAAAAGGATAGTTTTATTATGACACTCAAATTTTATTTCAGGTGCACTGATTGTCCCTACCCCCACCACCGACTTTTACAATGAACAAACCAGCCTGGGCGCCACCATGAATAAAACATAGCAGGAGGAGGTCTCCCTGGGACTGAGCCAAAAGATCAAGGATAGGAGCTGTCACCGCATTCTCTAGGAGGTGTCCGAACGGATGCCTGTCGGCAGAAAGAACTGCGGGCGCAGCTTTGTCAGTGGAGTGGAGTGACATTTGGCCGGGGCTCAGCGGCCGCTCAGACCTCACCCAGACTCGGCCGCTTGCCGAGGGAAGTGCCGGCTGCAAGAAAAGGCACAAGCCTGCCTCTTTCCAAGTGCGGGCCATGTCGAATTCATAACTTGATGTGGAGTTTGCCCTTGGCCTTTCGCAGTCAATGCCTAGGGGGTTTTTTAAGGCAAGGTCTTTCCTGGGGAATGTCAGTGTGACATTAGAGCTTATTGTGCCATCCAGTGTGGTGTAGATCAGGTGACTCCTCAGTGACAGCAGAGGCCCTGTGCCCAGCCGGGGGCCGGGCAACCACGAGGTCCCACAAATTATTTACTGAATAAACCGAGCCCCTCTTTATCCATAACTTGTGGTTTATACCATTTTATCAATATTGTGTTTATTGGCTTTTCTTTGGTGACATTCTTTTGTTTTAAGCCATGCCATCTGTCTTCTCTGTTAAAGTAAGTGACTTATCTTGCCATTTTACCATTGCAAAATAATATCAAAAGATACAAAGAGCTCAGTAAGTGGCCTGAAAGACCGTGTAACTGGAGAGACCCACCGCAGCCTCGCACAGGCAAACCCCCACTCTCGCCAGGGAAGCGCCTGCCCGTTAGGGCCCCGGCCTGTGGGCAAAGGGGGGGCAGGCCGAGCGGTAGCAAAGAGTGGAGGGAATGGGTGAAATAATTCCATTTCTGCATCTATTTCCCAAAATGAGGGTTCAGAGGAAGGGTAGATTAAGAAGGCCACCCTTCTGGCACATTCTGTTAACTAAGAATGCTTTGGAACTAACAAGCAGCCCTTTTAGAACAAATATTAAGCCCTGGCGCTGTGGCCTAGTATTTGGTGTTGGTTAGAACATCATCCCAGAAACTGAAAGTTCGTGGGTTCGATTCCCGGTCAGGGCACATGCCCAGGTTGTGGGTCTCCACTGAGGGTGCGTACAAGATACAACCAATGGATGTTTCTCTCTCACATCAATGCTTCTCTCCCTCCCCTCCTCTAAAATTAGTAAACATGTCCTCAGGCAAGGATAAAAAAAAAAAAGAACAAATATCAGCTTAATCAGAGCTGCCATCTGCCACAGTGATCTAGAGAGGGGTGCACTATTTTAACAACCTGTGGCTTTTGAGGGCCAAAAAGCCGGAAATATCCAGATAGTGAGAGAGAGAGAGAGACAGCAAAGAACCTAGGGGACTGGGGCAGGTTTGGGGAGAGTCTGGTTCCATGGCTGGGGTTCTTTTGGTTGCCAATGACAAAGGACCAATTTGAAATTCATTTGCAGGAAGAATTCCTGGACTAAGTCATGGGATTTAAGAAAGAGAACACCTAAATTTTAGAAGGGGATCCAGGGGACCTGGAGGATCAGAACAAAGACTAGAGGGGTCTCTCTCTCTCTCTCTCTCTCTCCCCCCCCCTCCCTCCCTTCCTCCCTCCCTCCCTCTCTCTGTCATCCCTGTTAGTCCACATCTCACATACTCGGGGACCCAGGCACTGTGGTACTAGACTCACCTCTTCCCACTTTTGGTAACAGAGAAAGGTCCTGGTTTCTTGGTTCTCCTTTTCAAATCCCAGGGATGGCCCTGGTTTCGGTCACGTGCTCACCCTTTTTCAGGGACAGTGACTGATAGCCCCTCATCAAATCTCATTATTATAGAGGGGAGTTGGGGAGACTCGTCCGAAAGAACCGGACCCCAGGTCCAGAGGAAGGACGCAGGATTGCTGCGGGATGCGTGGGCCACCCCGGGCTCCGAGGCCAGGGCAAGGGGAAGCTCCCTGAGAGGCGCAGGCCGAACGCCAGTGTAGGAATCACACCGGGGCCCTGCCCAGCCCTGCCCAGCCCTGCCCTCGTGGTCCTTCTCTCGGACAGCGAGACAGCTGCTCCGAGGTTTCCGAATGTGCTCAGAGCCGGCCATGCGTGGATGCGGCTGGGAGAGGCTTCGCGGGCTGGGGAGCCCCATCTTTCTCAGCCCAGCCGCTCCAGCCCAGCCGCTCCCGCCCAGCCCGGTGGGCCCTGGAGGGAGCGACGGCGGGAAGGAAAGGCAGGGGCCCCTCCTGTGGGACGGCAGGGCAGCCGCCCCGCACCCCTGTATCACAGGCCGGGAGGCCTCGCAGAGCCCCACGGTCTTGGTCTTTGGAGAAGTGCCTTTAGACCTCCAGCAGCTCTGGTTTCTCTTTCCTGGAACAGTCGACACACCCATTTGAGAACTTGCACAACCTTAAGGATGGATGGAGAGCGAGATAATAGAATGTTAATTACAATTATTTCTGTGCAAAGGGATTACAAATAGTGTCATTTCCTCTAGAGTTTTCTGTATTTCCTCATTTTCTACTAGAAGCATATGTTGCATTTTTATAATCAAACAAAAATATGAAACATACATATGTCCTCAACTTATTCTGATATCCCCCAGTTATAATAAAATATAATGACACAGATGTTCAAATAATGTCAAATTACAATATGCTTTTAATCAAAGAACAAAAGGCTAATTCAATGGCTTTTAAAATACTCTAGAATAATGCCTTTGGAATCAAGGTGAACCTTTATACATTTATATATACTCAAGCATCATATAATCTAGATGGTGTTCATCAATGTTCATGGTGTTTCTAAGAGCAGATTTGCTTCCCTAGCTGGGTTTGGCCCAAGCTAACATTAATTTGCATTCCCTGAGCACAAACCGGCTGAAACGGTGCTGAGCACTTGAGGGAAATTGACCTTGGATGAAACATTTGCTTCCACACAACACAGGGCCCCGTCTCCAAGCAGCTAACGAAAAACTGAATCCAGGAGTTGTCAGACGCCCGAGGGAGCCGGCCCTGTGACAACCCTCGGGTGGCGTCATTTGTGAAAACTCACAGTCGCACCAGGGATAATAGCTCAAGACCTAATGCCAGTCAAAATGCAAAACAAACCCCAGGCGGGCAGCGGGCACCTGAAGAAGTGCCGTAAGCAATGAAAAATCAAGCCAATTAGCAATGTCCACGAGCTGAACATTACAGTGACTAATCTCAAAAGTCTTGTATTACACATTCTTCCTGCCTACATTCCTTCCTTCCTGCCATCCATGGCTTTTTTTCTTCTGTCTTCCTTCTTCCCTTTTATCCCAGCCATGTTACACAAGGAATCTAAGGTGGTTTACAGGGGACTATAAAGTGAAACTGAGAATTAAAGTCAGTCACAAAAAGTAGGGCTCCAAGGCAACAGCAAAGTAGGTCGTGGCTACCCAGGGCGTAGGGTCTTACCCGCATGCACAGACTTGGCCCTGAACTTCTTTCTGGCCTTAAGTACATAACCTATAAATATAAAACACACAGTTCGTCTAGGGAATTGACATTTTTCCTACTCTCTCCTTCCTTTTTTAACACCGTGGACGATATTTACTGGCATAGAAAGCCACCCATCATATGGCCCACGTAGGCGGCATTGCGCACATGATAAGAGCTCACACATGTGGGTCCCGGGCACGCTGCGGAGCGCTTCGCACGCGTTCTTCCACTGCGTCCTCGCAAAGGGTGATGGGGCTCACCTACAGTTAGACAGCAGGAAGGAGCAAAAGCGTGGGTGAGCCTAGGTCCACAGCATTCAGGAGCTTCCCCACGCTCTTATCCCACCTGACAGAGAGGTACCTGGAAGAAGGTTGTAAAATGTTGAAAGTGGATACCACTGGCTGTTAAGAAGTTGAGGGATATTGTTGTTGTTGTGTTGTTAACACTATTATCAAAGTCATTCAAAAATATGCAAAAGCATGGAGAATAATAAACATACACCTACATATGTATCCTCCAAACATTACGAATTTTGGCATTGCGCTTGATTTCTTCCAATTTTCGTGAAATGCAGCAGTCGTCGGCTGAGGCCCTCCATCGTCTTTGTCACAGAGCATCCTGGGAAAGGCAGTAGACATGATTTTCTGCAAATCTCTGCAACACATGTTTTTCATGGAAATCTTTTCTGTGTGAAATGTTTTGACACAGCCTCTCCTTGGGAGAATCAAGCATAACTTAAAAGTGGATTTCACCCCAAACAAGTCCACAGGGAGGAGGGGGAATAGGATAGTGAGGAGGTGAAGGGGCAAGAGACGGACATGGCGCAGCTTTCTGATGTTCCAGCCTGGTCCGTGGGCAAAACCACCTCAAAGAAATGAGTCCGCTGTATGCTCTCTGAGTGCCTATAACATCTTTTGGGGTTTTGGTGGAAATTAGCCAACAGAGAGTTC